AGGTCTACGGCTATTCCATCGACTTCCTAGGGGACAAGATTTCTTCCTGGGTCAACAACAGCAAGAGTGTGGTCCAGAATAGTCGGTTCGATGGCGAATCTCTCAAAAGGGCCGTCCAACGGGTAGTCGCAGACCATGGCCTGGACAAGGACGACAAGGCGTGGAAGGGAGATGCGCTACTTCAGCACCCAGGGGCTGGCAAGATGTAAGAATACCAAGAAGACGCCCATATTGGTAGCCTCAGGATGCATCATTGACCATGGAGATGCATAGGATCATCTGCACAACAGCTCAAGATAGGGCCGAAACAGCTTTGATGAAGACATACAAGGACAACAACAACTACGTCTCTTCGGTAGCAAACGACATTATGAAAGAACACCGCGACAAAATCACAATATGCCTCGCAACGAGGGCGACGTCCGCCGCGCCGACGTACTTTTCCGAGGTCAAGTGGCCCGAGGGAGCGAAAAGGCAATTGACCTTTTGGGACGGCGGCCTTCTGAACAATAATCCTATCGACCAGCTGTGGAACTCGAGATATGACCTAGTGAAGCCAGGCGAGCCGGAGCCTAAGATTTCCTGCGTGATAAGTCTTGGCACGGGGTGGGAGAGGGCAGATTCGCCAACGGACTCGTTGCTCAAGATCACAGGGCTGCTGTCGACCGTGATGGCCTTCTCGACCAACACGAACGCCAAGGCCAAGGACTTTTCGCGGCACTTATCGATGCTAAATCAGCGTGCTGAGCATGCTGATACCAAGTACATTAGGTTTAACCCGTCGCTAGGGAGTAACAAGGTTGGCCTTGCGGACTATAACAAGATGGAGTTGCTGAAGAAACTTGCGAGGAACTCTGTTACACATCCGAAGGCGCATGAGTGGATTGAGAAGGCGGTCGATGCCATCTGTCCGAAGGATGCATGACTACTTATTACCTACCTTGTATGATCTAGTGTAAGATATGTACCTTTATGAAGAATCAGCAATGCGTTGTGATCCGTGCCGAATAGTCCACACCTTGACGAGCAGTAGTTCGCAAAGTTTGATTGATAACAACCATAAAATGGCTGAATTATCCATGTTCAGATTTCGAGCTCAGATAAATCGTCTTCAAAGATTTCGTCCTTCAAAAGTTGTCCTTCCTCTATATTTGGAGCAAGAACAGGCAGAGACAACTCTCTGCGACCAACAATCCTTGATTTAAGGGAGAGCGAATCGAAAACTACCAGTGTCGAAAATGGCTGGAAGTAATCCTCAAGAGAGACAAACGAGTTCCCAGGAGGAACGGGAAAAGCCGTTACAATCAAACAGCCAAACTTCTCTCCCGTTTGAGATCAGACTCATGATTGCAGAACTGGTGATACAGGAAGAGGAAAGGGCACGAGAAAATGCACGAGAAAGGGCACGACGAATGAGAAGGTACCAGCAGGAGCTAAGGGCACAGCAAGAACAAAGAACGGCGAGAATGCTGCAACTGGTAGCGGCCTGTGCAGAATGGCAGACCATCATCGAGAAGGAAACGTTTTCATCCTTGAAGCTACAATCAGTGGCTGAAATATTGCGGCTGGGACGAATCGTCGATCGCAGACGAGAACGCTACATCAAGAGGATTCGCTTACATGTTGAATTGGCAGATTACGACCACGAAGTATGTCAGCTTGCCGAGAACGAAGATACCATCAGATTGAACAACAAGATATTCAGTCAACATCTTATATCTCTTCTCAACATACTCTCCCAGTGGAATGACAGCAGCGGCGTGACGTTGGATCTCAGCGCTGCTTCACGCAGCGACGCTCTGCACAGCTTTGACAAGCTAGAAACCGATGTGGACGACTTTAAGTTGTTGAATGTTTCACCGATTCATGATTGGCGTCTCGGGGCGAGAAAACGTACACTGGGGAGCCTGTTAGACTTGGTTTCCCATGACAATGTCCAGGTCGTCCTGCCACGGGTTCCAGCCGTGGCTAGATTCATTCTTACCCGACGTCACTTCCGAAGCCTTTCCCTGAAACCGTGAGGCTAGTCCTGGGATGCTTCCCGAATGTGGAACAGGTTGCATACGAACCTTACGCAGGTGTTGATACCAAGGCTCAAACTGCGCGTGACGCCGCAAATACAGCCCTGCTGAAGGACCTGCCCAAATCCACTCGGACCCTATCGTTTTGGAGTGCGTCAGGTTATACCTGAACGAAGAGCCAATCCAGGACATCAATCATGACCTTGTGTTAGCCGCGGTAAACGCAAGCCACCGTCTCGAATCCCTATGCGTCACTTTTGTCTTAGAAGTGCACGACTTCTTCAATGTGAAGCTTCCGACGAATCTTGCATTGTGGCGAAACCTTCATACTCTATCTCTGACGTCAAGCTGGCTGACAACGGAGGACTCTGCGTTGATGAATAGAGTCCTGCTCGCGGCAGGGGAGAAGGCACAACTCAAGCCTCAATTACGGATAATGGAACTGTGGCATCATAAATGGGGGAGATCTGCTGGAACTGCAGGATGCTTTTTGTTTCGATATAAAGCCGGTGACGGACTGGCAAGTGTCACGGTTCACTGCGAGAAGTTGCCGGACTTTAGCCTCGCGAAGGAGGTCAAAGAGGCTTGGAAAATTGTGGCTGGAGGCAGACTTCAGTTTTGTGTGATGGGTTTGGAGCAATTCTATGCCGGCTACTTTCAGTATCCTAAGGTTGGCAGACTTCTCGGAGTGTTGAGGCAGGATTTAGGAGGTGGCCCTTACGGGTTGAGAAGATGGAGTGTGGATATGTAGGACTACGTACTCTATCAGTCACACCGTGGGATTATGGCTCAGATCTGCGTGCGATCGTGGCGAGGAGACCGAGTCTTTTTTTGCATTTCACGAACAAAAGTAGACGTTCACAAGGCAAATTGGGGTAAAGAAGGATCAGGCGTTGACCTGGGTTCAGAGAGTTTAAAGGTATGGAGCCGTGGAAGAACAGCTTTCTCGCAAAAGATAGAAAGATCGGCCGAGGAATCATACTCTCTACCTATCACCCGTGTGTTGTGCCTTTTGAGTTGCACAAAGGATCTTTTGAGGGTCCGTGCCGTTCTATGAAACATTCAATGATTCGATCTATATCTAAAATGATATACTTCAGACTTCAGGAGCTGCGGGTGCCTCTTGCTCAGGCTTGCGTGCGTATACAAGATGCCTTACACATATTAGCAACGTACTTGACTTCGGAAAGTAGACTTACAGTTCCATAATCGGCTGGATACTGGTATCCTTCAGGGCCTTTCTCATCTCGCTGATGAAGACGATGACCTCTGCATACTCCCAGCCAAGAATCTCCTTGAGCAAAAATGTCCCGAATCCCTCCAGCGACTGGTCGAGAAACTCTAAGGATGACGTGCCGACCTCCTTCAACGTGGGATCCTTAGCCCATGGGCCGATAGGGATAGGCCACTTCTTTTCGACAACGTCAATGAAACCAGCCTCGCGGAGAGCCTTGGCGATGCCGTGATCGTGGACCTGGTTGGGGATTTTGCCGATCTCGTCACAAGCCTGGCTAAGGAACTTGCGCCAGTTCTTGAAAGGGTGGTCCTCGGGAAGGGTCTGGATCTGGGAGCGGCACTCAATATCCATCTCCTTGATCTCGATATAGCCGCCGGGCTTCATAGTCTCGAAGGCCTTCTTGTAGAAGTCTACCCAGTTGGACACGCTGCCTTCCATGTTTCGAACATGGACAAAGTCGAAGTGAGAGTCGGGGAAGGTCCAATCCTGTTCAATGTCGTCGATTTGGAATTTGCAGTTAGGCGGAACCCAGCCGGGCTGAATAGGCGATATGTCAACGCCAATGACATCGGCTGACGGGAACTCATCGGCAAAGTCGCTAAAAAGATGGTTAACCTGTCTACCCATCGCATCTCTGGCAATCTGTGAACCCACATGGCCCAAATACCAGTTCCAGTGCCAACATCAAGAACATTCTGGTCAGATTGTCAACCATTCGTTCACTTGGCATCTTCTCAAGGCTCGCTTCATATTACCTGAGGGCTGTCGCCAAGGGGTGCGAGGAACAATTTGTCGCCAAGGAACAGAGTCATCCAGTAGTGGCTGCGGGAATGTCGTGTTAATGCTACTCATCGCGACAAGCTCATATTTAGAGACCATACTTGATCTCCAGTCCCTCGTTCTGCCTTTCGTCATTGGGGCCCCAGTAGTCGGTCTTCTGGGTGTAGGTACGCCCATGAATGCGACGGTACTCGGTAATACTTTCACTCAAAGACGCGGTCGAAGATGTGCGAATGCTGCGGAAAGGTCAGTCGATGAGTAACTTCTGGCATTCGCCTGGGTATCATTACCTCTCCGTCTCCGCCTGAGACTCATTGTCGGTCTCGTCGGCGGCGACATCCTGCCAGCGTTGTCAAGTTAGCTGCCATCTCGTGGAGAACGTGAGTGGGCTCTAGGAGAACCCACAGCATTGATGGGTCCGTCGTCGGGGACGTTGGCTGGGGGCGGCGAGCCAGTTGGCACAGTGGCTTGAGTTGGTGAGGCAGACATCGCGACTACTATTGGAGTTCTGAGGTGAAACGATTTGGAAAAAGAAAATCAGGGAACAAAATCCGAGGGTTTGATTCAAGGCCAAAAGACAATTCGTGAAAACAAAACCCCGCAGACGGACCCTCCCCTTTTCGAAAGTGGTTCGTTATTTGTCTGTTGGTTCTCCATGCATGCACACCTGCATGTCGGCTGGGTTCGCTAAGAATATCAACCAACCCGGCTTCCCCGGCGAATGAAAAGCCTTGCCCACGGCGGCTTCCCAGCCTTTTATGGCAGCTGTGAAGCAATTTACGACTATTGGCCGGGTGAGGCACGGGGTTAGGGCCGGTTACGGGTACCCAGCCTGTGTTTGTCTCCAGCATCCTGTCAACCCCCTGCCCATTGCAATCGGGACCAGCCACGTGGGCGGCTTTTACTGAAGCATCGTTCCATGAGTGCGAATTCTCGTAAATGCTTAATATTCATACGAGACGTCATATGCCTTGAGTATACGAGCTCAGTATGTTTTCCCAATCCGTGTCGCACCAGATCTGTTGCTCGCTGCCCATGTCCGCGAACATGAAGTCGGAAAAGCTCAAGTTCTCGTTGGGCGTCTCGATCTCCGTGCTCGTCTGCTCCGTCAACCGCTCCTCTTCTTGAACCCTCATTACCATCGCCTCGACATCGGATAGCAATGCATCGTGGTCCTTTGCAGCGGGGTTGCCGACGCGGGCCATCTCGCGAAGAAGCTCTCTTGTCCGAGAGTAGAGTGCTGCATCATGATCTTCTGGGGAAGACGTTGAGACTCGGTCGCGATTGATTGATACGCGGGCAAGAGCTAGGATAGACAATCCAGAGAAAAGATGGAGGGATTCCCAGTATCCGAATTTTGCTTTTGGAGAGGCACTTTGTGAGCAATCAAGCGAATCGCGGACGACGGCCAGCAGCACTCACCGATCTTATCATAGTTCCAAAGGCCGAGGAGAATCTTGCAATTATTGCGAGCTGCTTGAAGGCACTGCATCTTGACGGCTTTCATCGGATCTTCTCCACCGATTGATGGGACGCCTGAGCGACCAGAGCTTATTTGCTGACTATTGAGTCGACGTGTCTGAACTATAGATGAAAGTCGTTGAAGATAGAGAGGTCTGAGGAGTAAGATGGAACACTATCAACAATTAGCTAGAGCGTTAGAATAATTCTCTAGCCAAGATGGCAACTTGCCTGGTGGTATCTCATGTATATTGATGCCAGGATTCGTCCGTATTGCGCTTCCATTAGTCTGGTAGGAAGGCTATCCTCAAAAGTGAAGGTCATGTTGCTCGGTAAGTTGGCTCTCCAGTCATGGAGCATGTCGATGCAAGGTTTGATGATGTCTAGTCGCCTCTCGTCATCCACGTCTGAATGTTGCGCGGCAGTGATTACAACGTGACGCTTGATCTCGCAGAGCTGGGTCGATGCTGTCAGAAGACTTGGATCTGAGAACTGCTCCAAGTCTTCAGATGTGAGGCCAGCTGAGCACGGGAGCTGCATTCCCTCGGGGACAGATGCGAGAGCAGGCGACACTCCCAACTCGGTACTGATCATTCGGTCCATGCAATATGATGTCCACCAAAGTCGCTTTCTGTGCTCATTCAACACTCGAACATTTTGCTCTGCGTCAATTGGCGTTTGAGCGGTCACTGGTTTGTGAAGCTGTAGAAGCTTGGCAAGGGCGCAGCTTTGACTAGCGTACGAGTACGCCGTTTTCCTCCGATTCAGTGAATAGCAATAGAAAGCCTTGCAATTGGTCAGCGTTTTCTTTTGATGACTTGGAGAAGCAGAGGGTCGACTCACAATGAGATTGAGAGCTTCAACATCTGCTGAGACCGGCTCCTCAGACGACGTTTTCAGCAGCATCAAACCCTGCTCAAAATAGTCTGACCCTGGCGGCGGTGGTGGTGCTTGTGGCGTTTCAGAAGACTCCGAGTTAGACGTTGGCGAAGAAGATACCGGAGGCAGGATGCTGTAGGGACTAGGAGGCTGCTCGCCCGTGAGCTGCATATGTGTGGATGCAGTCATGCGCGAGCGATTGAAGCTTTCTGCCAGAGCCAGAACAACAGATACCCTGCAGAGCCAATTGCGGTCTTTGGATTGGGAACTGGGGTCAGAATATGTCAACATCAGTCTGTCACAGAAATCCTTGCGGAGAAACCAATGGTATTCGCTGAAGCCCTCCTCGAAGGCTTGGAGGAGGTGAAATGCGTATGGTCTTGGGGGAAGTCTGAGATGCACCTCAGGATCTACGGAACTCGGAATTAGTCTTTTTTCTCTCGTCTTTGATTGAGGAACTCACGCAAAAAGTCGAACTTGAGACGAGAGTATGTGTACTTCTCCTTCCGAGAAAGTAGTGTGTGGAAGAACTTTTCCGTGCTGCAGTCTTCCGGCATCTCTTCTTTGATGATTCTACTGGTCTTTGGAGGAGACATGGGCGCAGCAAAGTCGGGACTTCGAACGTCTGTTTGAATAGGCTCCGGCGCATGTGATGAGTTCGAGGGCGATTGATTTGATCCTCTCCGAACGGAAGCCAGCTCCTTTTCGAGCATTCGCAAATAGCTCTCTGACACAGTCGTGAACTTTTCCTTGACCGGGTAGACACACTCCCGACGGCGCACTTGGCAGCGCTGACACGGAGTTCCTGAATTCCATCATCAACTCCATGTACCTTACTCGTTATGCGACTGTGGAAGACATACCTCCATTGCATTTGAGCTTCTGTCCATGACACGCCTTGCAGGCCACAGAACTGCGGCCCTTCTGAGCTGGACTTGTCACCATGACGACGTTACCGGACCGATTGACTTGCTCAGTTGAGTATGTATGCTAGCGGCCCGATGTCTGCGAGGGAGCGATTCAAAACGGCAAACGCCAAGACGAAATTGAAACGAGCGATACCGGAGGCGACATCAAAGCTGTTGGGATTGTGGCAGGGAACAGCATCGACGCGTGCACATCAATTGCGATAACACCGCATGAGATGGGTGCGGAGGCCGTCTTGATAACGGCCGGGGCGTCCAGCTTCCCATTTAAGGAGCTCGCAGAGGGGTTGTACATGCTGTTAACAATGCCAGGCGGGGCGGCATGCATCGGCCCCAGACGCTATGTGGTGGATATTCAGCGTAATGGTGTCGCACCGCGGTCTGTCGCTGCGAATCATTGATGATGCAGGGATTGGGGTTTCTGGGAAGTTGGGGTATCATTGCATCTAGGTTGTCCTCGAGTTTGGGACTCGGTGTTGGAGATAATTGTCTGTGGAACGGGTGGCTACCTCGCATTCCCGCCAAATGGTCAAGTCAAGGGCATGTCAGTGGCATTTCGTGTGCATTCGGGCCCCTGACGGTCATGAGAAAGTGATGAGTCGGATTCCAGGGTGTTGTGGCTGCATGTTTGCTCTGCCCGGAAGCATTGCCGCAGCTCAGCTGCGGCACCATTTCCGGCGCTCATCGATCGGCTCATCATTGCACCATGTCGGCTCCAAATCCTCTTCCGCTCTCACATTACGGGCATTGAAGAATTCTTGTCGCTTCCAAGGCCATCCATAATGTATTGTTTTTAAAATCTTCAGTGGCTTCAATAAGGCATAATAGGCAGTGGGAGCGCCCGGGACACTGCCAAGGTGGGAGCTAGTGCAGAACGAGTCTAGTGTACGAGGAACGAGACGGCCTACCGCGCAGATCCCTTTTGAATCGTACGAAATTCTTCATGGCTCTAGTTGTCCACGAGCCTCAACTCTCGTAATTAAGGAATTTCTTAGTCTACGATGAACGAAGTACGGCATACGGCTCATTCGAGGAGCCTTACGCGGATCTTGATGTGCTGTTTAAAGCAGGAAGAGTAGACAATTCTTCCAAGATTTTCAACAAATATAAAATCTTGTCTTCCACAATCCTTTAGAATCCAAAACCCTATCATACTATATCTCATCCACATTCAATTCTCCACGGCAAAGCCAATTCTTCAAAGTGAGTAAATGCACCGAAATTAACCTTAATTGTCCAGTTGAGACCACGGTTTATGGCTACTACCCAAACGTTGGCGGCAACGCCTTTCTGTTAGCCATCTTCATTCTCTGCATTATATCACAGCTTTTATGGAGGCATAGGCGTAACGAGTAGTAAGGAGTGTGATGTGTGTGATGAAAACTAGCTAAGTAGGCTACCTAGCTAGGAGGCTGGAAGAAGGCCCTAGCAGGCCTTAGGCTACATAGACCACCTAAGGTACTTATAAATAGATACTATTATACTACTTTTTAAGTTCTAAAACTTAGTAATAACTATTAATGTATATAAAATAAGTAAAAAGCTAGAAATTTTATTAAGAACTAAATTATTTAAAAATAAGAAGGTTTTAAGTTTATATTAATTTAGTTAATCTTTAGTTAAACCACTAAATAATCTGTGTTTTTTAATTAATTTTAAACTTTAAATTAAATAAATTTTAAAACTAATTAATTTTAATTTATATCATTTTTTAATCTATTTATTAATTGAAATATTTTAATAAAATTATAATATTTCTATATTTTAAAAAACTCCATAAAGCTATTAATAACTATTTTAAAGCTATTACTAAAATAAAATATAGAAATCTTATTTATAAGTATTTCTTTAATACTTTATTTATATTAAATATTAATATAGTAAAAATAAGCTTAATTTAATAGATTTATAATATAAAAATGTATATTAGTATTATTTATAAAGAAAAGAATACAAATATTTATTTTCATGTTAAATATTTATTTAATAGATTTTTTAATTTATTTAAAAATAAAATTAATAAATATCAAACTAATAAACTCTATTTTAGTTATATTAAGAGTAGTAAATATCTATTTGTTTAATTTCTAAATAATAAGAATATTACTAAAAAAGATAATATTTCCTCTAATTAAGATATAAAATAACTAATTAGTAGTAAAAAAACCTTTATTATATTATTAAAAGCTAAAATTTAATTTAAATTAAGTCTATTAATAATAATATTATAATTAAGACTTGTTTTAGAAATAAATAAAAACGATATTCAATAAAATATAAATATATCTAAAATAAGCCTTTACTAGCTTAATAAAACTTATTAATATAATAAATGATATTAATGTAAATACTTTAAATAAACTAGTTAATATAGCTAATATTTTTAATATACTTTTTAGCTTTTTTAATAATATATTTATTTTTATTTTATTAAATAGAAAGCTTTTTATAAAAAGAATTCTTTATTAACTTTAAATCTTAATAGCTAAATTAATAAAGAATAGCTTTAATATATTTATACTAAAAGAGGAAAATCTTTTTAGTTAAAATATTATATTTAATCTAAAAACTAAAAGATTATATAGCTTAATTAAGCTTTTTAAAAATATATATTTTCTTAAGATTATTATAAATACTCTTAATGTACTACTTATTATAGATAGTAATAATATTATTATTAATATATATTAAGGTGTAAATATATTAGTCTTTGTTTATAAATAAATAACACGTATTATTAATAGACATAAAGCTAATCTTATTTATTTTAATATAGATAAAATTAAACTACTAAAAAAAAGCTTAATATAAACTATAAAATACTTTTTTAAAAAGCTAAACCTTATTATTATTAATACTAAAGCTAGTAAGCTAATAAATATAAATTTCAATATTATTAAGAACTAAAGCTATAAGAAAAGTAAAATTAAAATTATATATTTAATATTTAAATCCTTAAAAAGTAGTAATAATAAGAAATAGTTAAAAAGCTATAGCTATAGTAATTACTATATATACTTCTTAAGAAGCTTAATTTCTATATTTAAAGTTATTATATATACTTTAATAAGCTTTAAATTGAGTAATAATATTATTAATAGTAATTTTAATTATTAAAAACTTATTAGTTAAAAAGAACCTTAATATTATAAAAAAAGTAAAGAAATTTATAAACCTCCTTTATAATAAACTACTAAATCTTTTATTTATAAGCTTTTTTCTATTTAAGTTAATAAGGATTATTTTTAGCTTATTTAAAAGTCTTTAGAATATTATAGCTTTATAGAACCGCTCTAGAAATAATAATAGTTATAAAAATATTAAAAAAATACTTAAGTATATTATTATATACTTAAATATTAATAGTAACATATATCTTTTTATTTTAGCTATAAATATTAAAAAGCTATTTATAATAACTAAAAAGCTTAAGATTACTTTAATAAAGTTAAAAAAAAAGTAGTTTTATTATTTTATAAAGCTTTCATAGCTTTATCTCTATAAGTTTACTCTATAAAAATAAATCTTAGTTATAGTTGTTAAATTTATATACGTTTAATACTAATAATATTAATAGTAACTTAATAACTAATAAATAAAAGTGTTTTATATTCACTATAATGTAAACTATTTATCTAAAAAATATTAAATAGTTTATTTAGAGTTAATTTTATTAATGCATAAAAACTAAATAAATCTTTTTAACAAAATTAATAAGTATACTTATAATAAAGGTTATTAAAGAAATAGTATTAATATTACTCTAATTATTTCTATCTTTATGAAAAGTTTATTTAGTATTTTTAGTAGTTTAGCTTTTATTACTATTATTATATAGGATTACTATGTTATTAGTTTTCTAATTTATACTACTATTAATAGCTATATAATTTATTATAATAATATTATTATTAATTTTAAATATTTTAGTTACCTCTTTTATAATATAAAATATTTAATACAATATACTTTTTATGATAACTTATTTCTCTTTATAGCTATTAATAGAGATAATATCTATTCTCTTAATATTAATATTATATTTTTATAAATTTATAATTTTTTTAACTTATTCAAAATAATTAACTAAACTGTTAATAATATTTAATATAACTTATTATATCTTATAAACTTATTTAGCTTTAATAAACTCTATAAAGCTAATATTAACTATAACTATAAATTTAATAGTTTTATATATATAAATAATATTTATTTTATTAGTAAACTTAAATGAATTATAGATATTATAGTTTTTTAGACCTATATAACTTTTAACATATTTTTTAATAGTACTAATATAGTTTATCAGTTAGCAATAAATATCAGTTAGCGACGAACTTTTTCCCAAACGCAGTTTCCACTAAACCACTTAAAACTTTAACGCGTAATAACTCCGCAACCATCATGCTAATTTACACATAAGAAGATAACATACTTCTAGCTATCGAGGCGATCTGATCAGCCCGCGTTGCCAGCTAAAAGCTAAGTGTGTTACGTGCTGCGAAGACTTGTAGTGTCCCCGAAAGTTTTATACGCTATGGAATGAATGATTAACCTTAATGCGAACATGCCTAACCCTAACGATATAAATTTAATCAAATTAAAGAGAAAACACTTCTCTAATATGTTATTAAATGGGATTCCAGAGGATTTCCTTTATGCCTTGC